CGAAGAGACAACTGTTTTTATAACGAGCGAATGTGGTTGTGCTCAGTTTTCGGAGTTTCACAGCACACAAAGCGTTGCAGACTGGTGAGCGTTCCTTCGTTGTACACTTCAGCCGCTGCACTTGAGACTCGCTTACCAGTCTGGTGGGTGTGGATGGCATGAGTATGCGCTCCGACAGAACTGCACGTACCGATTCCTCTGTTAAATCCTGCCAGAAGTCAGAGATGGAAATTCACGTGGCCTCTGCTGAACTACCGCTCTTAGCCCATTAAGCGAAGGATGTATTTGCTGAAAAGTGGTATCATATCTGGGCATCTAAATGTGTGGTAATGAACGCCGTAGTCGCATTTTGCAGAAACTACTTAAGGGAAACGGCGTACCACATCCAAAGTGTTTAGGTACAGATCAGATACTAGATTTCCCTAGTGTGCGGAAATATCACTAAAATTCCTTGTCTTCCGCGTATTTCGGGCTGTCGGTCAAACACCTTCATTTTTCTTCATTATCTTCTTGCCAGCCTGAACCCTTACCTGTCTTCCACTTTTACCGCTCTGGCCCCATCTACCTTGGTATCATGCAATCAACGACAGCCTTACAACACAACGCCTGCGTCCAAATCCTCTAAGACCGCAACCTGCCAAGATCGCCGCAAGGCATGCCCCAAGGTAGGTTAAATGAGAACGGACGACTACTGCTGTTGTCCCTGCAAACATAGCGAACAAACAACCGTAGATCTGTGACAGTCAAAAATAACTCTGGTAATGATCTTACTCCTGTATTACTTTTCAAACTCGGCACGTACACAGGAGAGCTGAGCGCGCTGTCAAAAATGGAAATGCGAATAAATTGCCTGAGACGAAATCAGGTTGCATATTATCCGTCTCCAAATAAAACAACATGATGTACCTGATGAGCTGTCTAACGTAGCAACTATGGTATGCATGTGCTACTCAGATATAGGAAACATTCCACATTTCTGCTTCGAATGGTTTGTAGGATTCCATTATACTGACCTGCTCCGCTTGTTACTATAGTGTACCACATTAACTGAGACAGCAAAGACTTTTCAGCAGCATGGGTCACTCGCAACTGCTGTGAACACGACAGAATACCGTCGGTGCAGCAGGAAATATCGTCTTAAACGCACCCTCTTGGATCATACACTCGTCCACCACCAACGTGCACACTTTGAATGTACTTGGTACCATTTCACGCACGTTTTCCACCGCTTGCAGTTAACAGAACGTTGTCTCATTGGGCAGTAAAATGCTCAATATTTTTATACGAGTTATGAAGCACTGCTTTATATATCCTATTGGATGGTCTGGTGGGTTGCCAAAAATCAATTAAAAAGCAGATAGTAGTTCCGTTGTCAAAATAATGAACTTATCGTTTGTAATGCAGTAGCCCAGCACGAGTGCAAAATAAGAAATGACTAATCCACTCACGTCCACACACGCACAATGCCATAGAATGTAGCCGCAGGGATTCATTTGGTGCGTTGAGTCTCTCAGGTACACCTCTCCATGACGCTCAGCAATCAGGGCTATTTGTTATAGTGCAAAAGAGAAGTACCGGATGTCCTGACCCTCGCGTTAAACTCGTACACAAACCATTGCGTTCCCAAGTGGTGATAACTTTCCCAACTTCGATGCATTCGCAGTACCGTGACGCTGTATCAATTGAATTAACTCGCACCGAGTAAGGCGCACTCTGTAATGATGGGCCACAAAGCGGCACATTTCAGGAGTTCGGCGAATTGTGCCCATCAAATTCAGCGTGATGGACTCTTGGGAGGCTGTCAAGCGGCGAGTGCGCAGATACGGCACTGTTTGCCAGCTCGTAACGAGTGCGAAGTCCCATTTCATAATATGTACCCTCTTGAGAACAACAGAAATGCGAGCATGGCATTTGTAACATTGGCAAATATAGATTCACCACCGATACAACAGATAAAAACTAGTTTCATCATCATCGTCAACAATACATGTTAACAGACAGTGAAAAACACACAACAGCCAATGTGCCTTCAATACAAAAAAGAGAAGATATTAAACAATACAGACTACTAATACAAGAATATAAATTACTGATAGAATCATATTATACATTGGGTTGAGATCGTTCTTGGAGGGGAAGATTTCTTGGAGGGGAGGGACAAAGAGACTCACAACACAAACGCCACTGAATTCGACTCTTCACAATGTTGGTTAGCCTATCCAACCAAACGTGTTCATCATCCTTCGGTCCCCAGCCAGGCAGTCGGGAAACACCAATCGACACTAACCTCGAAGTGATGGACTTCATTCCTCTAGAATAAACCATCGCTTGGCCTCCCCTCCTCCTCTTCCATCCAAACCCCGGGCGCGCAAACAACGCACGAGACGGGAGTCGGTGTACTGGTATGCGCAACACGTGGCCCAGCCATCGATTCTGGTGCATGATACAGTGGTGCTGAGCAATTCACTCGCTCTTCCTGCACCAAATACGTGGCGCCGAACACGCGCATTGCTCACGTGGTGTTCCCACCACACATGAGCAAAGCTTCGAAGACAGCGGTGATCGAATATAAATAGCCTCTTTATGTCGGCTGATCTAATGTGCCAGGTTTCGCAACCGTACAGGAGGGTTGAACGGAAGGCTGCATTGTAAACTCTGCGTTTCAGAGCGATAGTGATGTGACGCGGCGCCACAGATGGCAGATATTGGCAAAAGCACGCCGAGTTTTCGTTATACTGTTCATGACCTCATTTTTAATCTCACGGGCGCTAATTTAGCTGTCCAAATACTTAAATGTCTCGAGGAATTCTACATAATCACCGCCAAAGGTCAGCGCAGGAGTGGGTCACTGCTAATCTTGGAAGAGTTTGCACTTCGATGGTGCAAAGCATAGCCCGAAACGACTGACAACCAGCTATGTTCGTGAGTTGTCACAGATGAGCGCAATGTCGACATACTTCAAGAAACAATTGGTCTATTTTTCAACTAATCACGACGCGGCTTAACACACTAGACTGATCATGGGGTGGATAACTATTCCACAAGAATTGTATAAATGTGTGTCAGGTCGAGCAAACATATTGTCGCGTCCACCGCCGCTTCTTTGAGTGGGTTCCAGTAAATGACACAAATCACTGCTTTACTTGCCGGCCTGACAGCTACTCGTCAGCTGATGTATATGAACGGAGCAACTGTGAATTAAACATATTGATCATGTCTTCTCAGTAAATGATCACATGAATGTGGGCGCTGATTTGACATGTCTTTGTAAGGCCCTTTTCGCAGCGAACGATTTGTCGCAGTGCTCATGTATATGAGAGCGCTGACCCAACTTGACTGCGTTAAGTGAGTTTAGAAGTGTCTTTCAGAAAGAAGGATTTTGTTCAATGCTGACATGTGTAGTCTCGTTTCCAATGCGCCGCTTTCAAGTTCCTACCAACGCATCCTTTTCATAGAAGCACTTATCATAGGCATCGGTGGATACGATCCTTTAAGTGTACTCGGTCAAATTCAGCTTGGGGATTTCACTTATGGGGGAAGGATTTTTCACAATACTGGCAGACATAGTTTTGTTTTTTCGAATGCGCTGCATCCATGTGTTATCTCACTCCACTATATCCGCATCACTGAGCCCGATTCTTATGCCCTACGCTACACGGCAGCGAACCGTTGACTCTGTACATTCTTCAGTCTACTGTGTAAATATCGATATTGTATGAACTTGTACGGAAAGCAATCGGGGTCTGCACCAGTTCTATGTTTTTAGCCATCCACAGTTAACACGGTGCAACGATAAGACGATGTGGAAGTCTCAATCTGAAACCGCCTAACATCACTTCTTACCACAGTTATGGTGCCGTAACCCCCACTAACAATGCAACAGAATGCAGCAGAAGCATCCGTCATGATGGAACACAACACACAATGATATGGACATCAAGTAAAATGGTAGTCACTCATTCGACATCAAGCCATCATTCGCTGATCATTTCACGTGATGTATGTAGCACCTGCAGTTTCTCTCGGTGTATGTACAACTTACTTGTACTCCGCTACCTAAGCAAGTATTCTTTTTAAGCGAGGTTCTTCGCAGCCCGTTTCCAAATCAGATGGTCGTCACATGCCTGGAAAAGCACTAGACTGCAGTTTCAGCCTGTTGGACATCGTCAGTAGTACGCATCCATCGGATCCACCAGGACAACTATCTGATTTGGAAACTGGCTGCGAAGAACCACACATAATTACATGAAAATCCCCTACTTATAAGTACATCAAAATATATCTGCCATGACAATTTCTAACTGCTCTGTCGTACATAGCTACTGTTAGTGAACGTCATGGCTTTCGAGGCCAATCCTGTCCTCTGCAACGTTTGTAACTTGCATGGCAGTGGAGGATAAGACGCGTTATCTCACAGTTAGCTTGTACATCATGACGGTCCGAAGCTGTCCCCTGTGGCCCAGTGGCATAAGCTGCTGACTGGCGGTTCCAGCCGCTGGTGGTCATGGGTTCGAATCCTGATGGATCCGATGGATACGCACTACTGATGATGCCCAACAGACTGAAACTGTAGTCTAGTGCTTTTCCAGGCATGTGACGACTATCTGCTTTGGAAACTGTCTGCGAAGAACCTCACATAATTACATCAAAATCCCCTACTTATAAGTACATCAGGTTATTCTTTTGTTGTCGTATCGTGTGACGGTCAGTCCCAAAGCATTACTTGATGGTGTAGCGAAATTCCTTAAGTAGCCCTCAAACCCACTGGTACCATATTGAATCGGTTGCCACTAAACATAGCTGGCTCCAATTGTAGTTACTGCTTAACCTCTTACCATTGTTGCATATTTCAAGTTCATCTGCTTGAGATACCCGGACTGAGTTTGATGTTTGCCGAGACACGGGCTCTCCGCTGATTCTAGCCAAGTTTGACCCCGGCCTACCAGGTTTTATCGTTCATTATGTGATAACTGTTGAGATCATATATTCATTTATTTTAGGACATTGGATTTGTTGCTACTTCTGATAAAATCGTTGCGCGTTGCAATGGTTTCCGATGCTCAATTTTTGTGGCGTGACATAGTCAATCAGGCGCTTCTTGAGACCAAGGGATCACAGAAACTCGGAGAATTGTTGCAGTCTATTGAACGTCAAAGAGGACCAAACTTTTCCAGAAGAATTGCATTAGAATTGTTGCGTTCGAATGGGATTGTTGACGCTGTCCTAGATTCTATTATGCTGCATCAACACACACATCTTGAAGAGAAGGGAGATTGTTTGTGTTTACAACAAAATAACCCGCATGGATCCGAGTTTCACATGGACGCACTGAATGTTCCCGCCGTAACTGATAGGGTTTCTTCTGTAACTCTTCTCGTCGAACTGATCAAAGGACGCGGCTTTATTGAAGATTCAGTTACCTATGATGAATACGTAAATAATGAAAAAGGAATTGTGAATGCTGACTTATTTGCTTACTTAGAATTAGGACAATCAAGATTTCGATCTCCAGCAGTGCCGTATACAAGTGAACCAAGATTTTTCTGTTTATTTTCCGTGAACTTAGCTGACAAACAGTCAGAAAGCGTAAGTTAAATGAATTATATATATATATTAGTTTTTGTTATACTACTTAATGTCTTGTTCGCTTCTTGTCCAGAATAAATGGAACGTTATTATTATGCTTACTAAAGATAACTTTTGGCTCAATAGGTTTAAATGACCTTCTTAGTTGGCCCTAACTCTACCCTTAGCTCGCTAGGATTTTAACGAAACACAGAGATGTGGATAATTCTTTAAAGCAAAAGTTGTGGCGAGTTTCATTGGTGTTATACTCATGAAGATGTGCACAGTTTCTAGCGTCGCTAGTCATTTCGACTTTTTTCTACGCACTGTTTTATCACGGGTGGTGGATCCACGAGAAAAATAGACTTGTCCAACTGTTTATCTTTACAGCGAAAACACTTGGTGCCTATTAGGCTACGTCCAACTTTACGTGCTGAAAGCAAACCTGTCGTTTCCTTTACTCTCTTCTCCCAAAAATGTCGGTGCCGAAAAAATCCTCAGTTCTGATATTTGTTTGTCTCCATTTCTCTATAGCGTGATATTGCATAAAAAGGATTGTTACTTGCTGTACCAACTTAATTACCTTGGATCTAGATATCTGTAAGGTTCCTGTTGCCACATTTTCAGTAAAGACGGGAAATTCTTCCAAATTATACGCTATGCGCTCAAGTTTCTAAGTGCCCTTAGGGATTTGCCCTGGTGCGCTTATAAAGCCTGTCCGGATGCACAGGCATAGGATGGCTATATATATACATGCATATATATATATATATATATATATATATATATATATATATATATATATATATATATATATATACAGGGATAGGAGAGAGCCACACCGAAACCCTCCACTTCGGTGACGGTCCCAGTGACCGTATTGGCGGTGGCTGACTTCAAAGTCAACCGACGCCACGAGTAAGATTGCGCGTCGCAGTCCAAGACACACGACTCGTGCTCCAAAAGCCATTTGCATATATATATATATATATATATATATATATATATATATAGATAAAATTCGTCACAGCCAAAGACTCACTTAGACAGCCTTCACACGCCCGAAAATGCACTGTACGCTCGTTTCATCCTTTTGGAAATCATCAGCAGTACGCATTCCATCGGACCCTAGTAGGGCTCGAACCCGCAACTCGACTGTTGCTAGTCCGTGGTTGAAACCACTGAGCTACGGGGGACGATAACGACCATTGCACAATGCTTTTCCGGGAGTGTGCTCATAAAAGGACTGTCGCTATGCGCCGATTCCTTTCCGATGTAATATACTAAGGTACTGACGTACAATTCCCGTTGGATTTGACATTTTACTTCGTCTATACAACAGATTGGCCATATGTAACGTAGCTTCCGATAGGCGTCGCTGCGATTCCGCATTCCATCCGCTTAGTATGTGCGTTTTCGTAAACCCCGGTAAATTCAGTATGGCTGAGGAATAACTGGAACTATTACTGTGCTCCCGCTCATTACTAACCTGAGGAGCGGAACATGAACTGTCGACTTCGTGATAATCGATAGTCGGTTAATTGTCCGGATTGTCCATTTGCCACAGAATTTCTAGGGAAATTTCTCTTCGAATGCATAGTCCAACGTGATCACACGAAAGACAATCGTTGAGTATTGCGCTCCAAATGTCAAACTTTACACTTTACGAGTACTTTCTGCAGCCAAGCGCTGGTATTCTTTTGCTTCAAACATATCCATTGAACTGGAAACATACTCCATAATTTGCCACCCTAGCATTGATCCGTATCAACTACACTATTTGCTCGGAAACTCCGCGCACACATCAAATAAGAATGAGCTGATGGATGGACCGAACCATTATTCTACGATGCACCGGCTCTCTAAGCGTCGTGCTAGTTAGCATTGGGCAGCTGGTCAAGCTAGGGTCATCTAATCTACGAATCGATTTCAACGAGCAGAATGTAGATGGCATAGTCTGGTGAGTAATACCATGGATCGTCTTGGTACGAGATCTGCAAGTGACGTCATACTCTACTGGAAGTCCGAATTGAGGGTTCATACCACCGCCATACAGTTAGTGGTTCGGAGATATTTTGGTGTCATGTCCACAACGGACAAAATCCGCATATGGTTTGTGTTGTCTACAGACACCCAATGGCCTCCGGATCCCGAGTGCTGCACTCGATCAAAGATTGCATAATAATTGGAGATTTCAATGCCCCCAACGTCAACTGGGATTTAGTTCACTGTCCTTTCGCCCCAGAATCCTTCGATGCTGTTCTACTGGAAACTGTCTTACTTCAGCATGTCACGTCACCTACTCGGACAATACCGGACCAAACGCCGCATATCCTCGACCTCGTGTTCACGCCCCAGCCATTCGATGTATCTGATTTAGAGATTCTCCAGGCAATGGGGTCAAGTGATCATTATGTGCTTTCCTTTCTATGGCCAAGACGACCCACCCTTCACCACCAGGGCATACCTCACCGGAACTACTGGCGCGTCGATCCACTCCATCTACAAAGGGTTGCAAGTGTTATTGACCGGAGAACCCCCCAGAAGTTGGATCTCGATACCGTTTGGAACCTCCTTTGCTTAAAATCGCGCTCTATTGTGGACGAAGTTCTACAAACTGTTGCTGACAAATATTTCTCTAAAAACCCTCCCTGGATTGATACGGAGCTGAATACCCTGCTGCATAGAAGACGAAGATTGTGGGACAGATTCCAGTTCTAACGGCTTGCCTCGGACTATGATAATTACAAAGTGCTCAGGAATATGTGTGCACTGAAAAAACGCGGGAAGAGAGAACAATATGAGCGTCGCCTGGCTGAGCAATCTTGTAGTGACCCGAAAAAGCTCCTCTCGTATCTGAAAAGAAGTACTAAGGCGCGTTGTGGCCTACCTGCCTTGTATTCGCTTGAGGATGAGGCTATACTTCATGACGATGAAGCGAAAGTCTGTCTTCTTGCTACACAATATTCATCGATGTACTCGGCTGAAGCCCCAGTATTCAATAACTATGTGCCCACTCATCCCAGTCCCTTGGAGCACATAGAAATTACCACGAACATGGTGCTGCGAATTCTTCTCTAGTTGGACCCGAGCTCTTCGCCAGGCCCTGATGAACTATATCGTCTGTTCCTGAAGACAGTAGTTGAGTATGTCTCTGAGCCAAACTACCAAATGTTTCGGCACTCCCTGGAGGCTGGACGCCCTACGCTTGATTGGGACGTAGGTATTGTGAAGCCAATCCGCTAAGGAGGAAACCGAGATGATCCTGCGAATTACAGACCGATTTGTGTGACATCGATCATTTGTAAGACAATGGAAAGGAGTTTAAAAAGAGCCCCTCAGCTTCATCTGGACATCATTACTCCAGCTCAACACGGTTTCCGGAGAGCACGCTCTTGTATCACTAAGCTATTTTTTGCCCGCGAGAACTGGTCAGAGTCAATGGATTCCGGTAATCACTTAGAAGTTGATTTTTGTTGAATTCAGCAAAGCATTTGATAGGGTTCTACATGAACGGTTTCTAATCAAGCTCCGGAAAATGGGCTTCGCTGGCAATATTCTTTCCTGGATCGCTGATTTCCTGCATGGTCGTACCATGAAGGTGAAAGTAATGAGGTTCTTTCTGGGCCTGTCCTCATGACCAATGAGGTTCCACATGGCTCCGCTCTTGGTCTCGGATTTTTCAAAATCTTCACTAACGACCTTCCAGAGGTGCTTCAAACTGACTACTTGATCCACGCGGATGATCTCAAACTATGGTCAGAAGTGTCTAGGCTTGAAGATTTGGACAAAGTACAACTAATGCTTGATCTTCTACACGACTGGTCTGTAAAGTGGCAGTTACCTAACGACCATGACAAATGCTGTGTTCTTCCAGTCGGTTCTCCAGAACCTTTCCACACCTACCACATTGATGGTTTCCTACTGAACAATGCGGCTTCTGAGAAGGAATTGGGTGTGGTTGTATCCTCCTACTTGAAAACTATCCCGGTTACGTTGCGGAAAATCGCATCCGCCAACAGGATATTCTGCGCCACACGGAGGTCATTTTCAAAATTGACGCCTGAGATCTTCAAGCTCCTGTTTCCTTCTCACGTCTGTCCACTATTGGAATATGGACTACCCGCTTTGCATCGTCTCAAAAAGTTTGAGTACGCTTTACTCGAGAAAGTTCAGAGGCGTGGATCCAAGTCTGTATCAGTGCTGCGAGATTTGTCTCTCTCCTTTCGACTTCAGCGAATGCATTTGTTCTCTTCGGACTAAGGTCGTTGCCGTGGGTATCTGGTATACACAAGACGCATCCTAAAAGGAGGCTCAGGTACAAAGGCGCAAGAGTTCTTCCAACTCAATGTTGATAACTCGACACGGGGTCACAGTTGGAAAATGTTTGAACCGCGGAGGTTCCGCGTCCGCTCCGACGTCACGTTATCTACCCGGATCGTGAATCAATGGACCAACCTCACGGAATTTGTTGTCAGTCCCATTCAGAGGTATGTTTCAAGCAGCGGTTGGGTAACTACATGCTGAGGACGCCTGGATCCCACTGTTTTTGTTGTAGCTGTTCTGGTCTCTTGGTGAACGCAGGTTAGCAAGGACACACGTCCTCCAGCCAGTGAATAGGTGGTGAAGGTGCCAACACTGGTTTTTCCCCTTCTGCCCTCTACAATATTATGAAACTATGAGCTAACATAGTGATATGAATCACGGCCGAATAATAATACGAAGATAATAATACGAAGGTGCCGTAGCTCACCGTCTCGGTAGTATGACACCATCCTAGACTCCAGTTGAGGTAGCAAGAATAGCATGGATCATGATGAGTACAACATTGTAATGGGCAACACGTGAAGTCATCGCGAAATACAACCGAGTTAAGTAAGCCTAATAAAGGTAGGTTAGATGTGGCTCATCCTTTCTAAGCAGATGCAAGAAAGATACTAAGTTGCACCAAGTCAATAGTTAATCATTATACAGAAGAGTAGTAGGGGGAGTTGAATGGTATAGGTAGAATTTCGTCACAT